TTCCCCTTCTCCCTTGTCCTCTGTCTCTTGTCTTGGTCTCTTACTCCCTGCCCTCTGTCCCTCTGGGGCAAATGAATCTTTGTGCTGAGAACTTGGTCTTGGAGTCCTGAGTTGATACTGTTCCTTTCAGTGTCCACTGTGGGCTGTTCTAAAACTACAGCCGAATTTACAGCTGGAAGGGCGGTGAGGTACAGGGACTCGGGATGGCGGTTACCCCACTGTCTGTCTGAAGTCCTGAAGCCTGCATTCTCCTATATGAGTACCTTCTCTCCCCAAGAGGAGGGGAAGAATAGGGAAATGGCAAGTTCTGTCCCTCGTGTGGGATTGAGGCAGGCTAGAAAGATAGGAAAGTTAAAGGGACATTGGAAGGAAAAGGAGCCTTCAGGCCTGAATCTGATGAAAGCTTTTCAAAGCTGATAGTCCAGAATTGTTGAATAATGCTTGCTATGAGTGTGGTCACTGTCATTAGAGACTATTTTACTTTAAAAAATATTTATTCATATTTATGTATATGAGTGCTCTGTCTTCATGCACACCAGAAGAAGGGATCTGATCCCATTACAGATGGTTGTGAGCCACCATGTGGTCAGTGGGAATCGAACCCAGGTCCTCTGGAAGAGCAGCCAAGTGCTCTTAACTGCTGAGCTATCTCTTTATACAGAGACATTTCAAATACGGATGTCAAATTGTAGCAACCTCCTGATTCACAGGCCTTCCTCACCTCTGCTTCCCATAAACCCACAGTCTTTTAAAGCATCTCATTGGAAACCCCACCCACAGTAAAAGGCCTGTCTTAACCCCTTGAGCAACCTTTGTGGCATTTCTGTTTTGTTTTAGATAGTCTCAAGTAACCCTGACTGGCCTCACAATCACTACACAGCTGAGGATGAACCTTGACCTCCTGACGCTGGGCTTCTGCATGACCCATATAGTTCTGTTGTATCTGACTGCAATCCCATCCTATAATCTCAATTGGAGAGAGAGGGGGAGGGGAGGGAGGGAGAGAGGGAGGGAAGGAGAATTTTCTAGCAACCATTTGCAATGTGGTTTGAGAGCCGTTGGAATTTGTGTACGACTATAGAGCTAAGATACTGAAGCAAAACTCTCTGGAGCATATGTTTGGGCATGTCTTATTCTTCTCCTGAGCATCTTTCTGTCAACTCCTATTCTGGAGCTGCACCTGTGTTAGAGTCTACAAGGCTAACTGATTATGATTGTGGAGATCTAGTGTATTGCAGATCTGCAGCCAAATTATCTTGGGCTATCGTTAGCCCAATCTCTTCATTTGACCTGACAATATTGTAAGATAATAGATAAGTCCTTTTGTGAGGTAAAAGCCTCCGGTTATGAGGAATTGAGTCAGGCAGTAGCAGGCAATAGCCACTAGCCATAAAGAATAACAGTACTGGCCTGATGGATCTGCTCCATCCATGGAAACAATATGCCTGGGTGTGGAAAACAACCCACCCTGCTTCCAGCCAAACTCCAAAAAAAATAGCTGTAACTGCCTGGAAGCTACCCATATCTAAATCTATATCTGTATCTGTATCTGCATCTGTATCTGTGTCTGTGTGTCTGTGTCTGTATCTATATCTATCTATCTCTATATATCTATTCTATGTCTACCTATAACTATATATATCATATCCATATCTATAACTATATATCTAATTTAATCTATCTCTATCTCTCTCTTTATCTCTATCTTTAGCTGTCCCCCAGCCCCTCCAAGTGTGCTCAGTCTTCAGACTAAGGCCCCCCGCCCCAATGTTCTGATAAAGCAGTCTCAGTCTGTTGAGATCCAGTCTGTCTGTATCTCTGCCTCAATTTTCTTACATCTGGTGCTGAGACTTGGGACCCTTCTAGGGTCCTCTGGGCAGAGAGCCCTCCTCCCTTCCCTGGGGTCATTCCTACAGCAGCAGGAATCCCTATACAAGGTTCACTATATAGGCTAAACAGCCACCAGCCAGTTCAACCTGACAGCTCTGGTCTATTGTGGCCTCTGCCTCCATGAGTAGTGTACTCAATTAATGCTGGCTTTCAGCCATTCTGGTAAGAGGGGAAACATCCTAAAGAGAGACACCTATACCCTGTTACAGGTGTGGGTCAGGTTCTGGAGGCTACCCATGGGATTTCCATGTCTTCTCCACAAGAGTAGCTGACTGGCCACACACACACTTTTGTGTGACATGTCCTGATCCAACCTTGGCCTTGTTGGGCCAGTCCCTCAGTATGGGGTTTTCTCGTGGGAGACGAAAGCTTATAAAATCTTTGTTTTAAGCTGCCAAGCTTTTGTCTCAAGCCAGGAGGGTGAGGAGGAAGCCGGCCGGCCATCTTTGAAGCTCACCACCTTTATTTCCTGACCACAGCCCCTCTCCCTAGCTGCCTGCCACCAGGGAGTCTATCCAACCACCACCCCAGTGTTTGGTTTTTCTCTGTGTGTCTCTACATGTACATTTCCTCACCGTTTGTTAGACTGTTGATTCCGTCTGCCCTGTCTGAGGTTTCTCTGCTGCTACCTTTTACGCTCAAGATCTTTCCTGCCTTTTAATTCTTTTTCTAAAAACTAATTTATTCTTATTTTATGTGCCTTGGTGTTTTGCCTGCATGTATGTCTGTGTGAGGGTGTCAGATCTTGGAGTTACAAACAGTTGTTAGCTGCCCTGTAGATGTTGGGAATTGAACCCGGGTCCTCTGGAAGAGCAGTCACTGCTCTTAACAGCTGAGCCATCTCTCCAGCCCCACCTTTTAATTCTTTAGTTGGCAGAGAAAACAAACCCAGTTAAGACCCCTAGACTGCATGCATCACCAGGACCTTATGGAGGCATTTTCTAAATTAAGATTCTTTCTAGAGGTCTCTAACTTGTGTCAAGCTGACATAAACTAGCTGGGACAGGGTCTTCGCTGTTCCTCCTCCTACCTATCCTACCCAGAGGCCCACATATTCCTGGAAAGTCCAGATCCAGAAACCCGGCCCAGAGGGGCCTGGCCACATGGCTGGCCCTGAGGCCTAGGTCTTAACCCAGCCTACAAGGACTGTTTGCTGCCTTTTCACTCTGGTCTTGAGTGCAGATGTTGTGCAGTTTCAGAATTTGGTACTAAAAATACTCCATGGGCTAGAAGGGCCAACAAGGGATCTAGCCACTTGTGGGTGGGGCCAGCCATGGCTGTGATGGAGGCTCACTCACTCATCGTGTTGGAAGGGGTAGGTCTTGTGCACTCTAACCCTGAGAAAAGGCAGCCATCTGATGGACAGGACAGGACGTTGCCATCACCTCCCTGTCTCTTCACAGGACTCCAGAATAAGTGGTCATGTGGTGAACATCTATTATTTCATCTTCTTTGGAGGCAGGTGAGGCAGGGGGCTAGTGTGAACCCAGGAATTTGAGGGCAGCCCTGGCAAATGATGGCCAGCACTGTTTATGTCTCTAGATCCCTAGAACTTGGGGTTTCCAGAGCTTTCCCTCACCAATAGCTCTCCAGGTAGAGAGTTATTGAATGGGCCAGAGGTGTCTATTTCAAGCAGTTCAAGGGAGAAAGCCTAGAACCAGCCTCTGCCTCTGGAGTGCTGGGATTAAAGGCATGTGACAACACCATGCCTGGCATAAGTATTCCTTAAGTTCTTCTGGGTAGATTTGTCAAGGGCTACATAGTGATTCTATGTTTTAAGTTTTATTTAAATGGCATGAAATAATTATTATTTTGGTTTTCTGAGATAGGATTTTGTTATGTAGCTCAGGTGTCATGACATAGAATTCACTATTCTGCCTCCAATTCCTTAGTGCTGGGGTTTTAGGCCCAAGGAATAATTTTATATTCATTTATTTAAAGACAGGGTATCACTATGTAACCCTAGCAGGCCTAGGACTGTGTTGACAAGACTGACCTGGAACTCACAGAGATCTGCCTCCCTCTGCCTTTAAAGTGATTGGAATGGGTCAGGCGGTGGTGGCTCACACCTTTAGTCCCAGCACTCGGGAGGCAGAGGCAGGCGGATCTCTGTGAGTTCAACACCAGCCTGGTCTACAAGAGCGAGTTCCAGGACAGCCTCCAAAGCCACAGACAAACCCTGTCTCGAAAAAACCCAAATAAATAAATAAATAAATAAATAAATAAATAAATAGAGTGACCGGAATGAAGGTGTACACCATCCAATGGCAGTTTCATTTTAAATACTTCTGTACTATTCTGTTTCCCATAGTGACTATGGGAATATAAATCCCCACAAAACCCACAGGAAGATCTTTTCATACTGTGACAGCACTTGCTACTGCTTTGTTTGTATAACCTTCTACTGAGCACAGGGATCTTTTAGAAGTGACAATTAAATGCCACCTTCTCATACAGACTTACCATGGAGGTCCATCTCTAGTACCGTTTTTCCATCAAGGCGCTGTCTAGACAGAACTGGGTCGCTGTAGTATTGATCTAGTTGGACCATGGTGGACAGTGTCTTTGTTGGCGACAGGATCCCCAGCGTTTATCAGAATATCCAACACACAGTAGGGCCTCAATAAATGGATTAATGGCGTTTCTCTCTTCTACCAAAATTTCCAGTCTGCACTTGTGCTGCGGCCTGGCTTAGAACCCTCGGCTGGGTCTGGCCCACAGCACACATCCAGGAAGATCATGACAGAAGCCCATGACAGGCCTGTGGGCTAACGCAGGCGTCACCAGCAAACCGGTGATGGGTCTGAGGCTGGCCCAGCATCTCAGGCCTCCCCCTTGCGGGTCTCTTTGCGCCTCTTTTCATAGTCCCGCCCCCAGGGCCATCTCGTGGGTCCTTGCTATTGGTCCCTCTCTAGAGGCTGTCAAGCGACCATTTCTAATTGGCCATAAAACCTCCCACCCCTCCGCAGCAGCCACAACAACCGCCATGTGCTCTGCCGTGGGACTTCCTCATTGGCCAGCCGCCCCGCTACACCTGGACTTCCCGCTTCCTCTTCCCATTGGCTTTCCAGTCGCAGACCCGGCTCTCCCGACGCTGATTGGCCACCGGGGAATGAGGCGGGGCTTGGGGCGGGTTAAGAGCTCGGCGTTGCCGGCGCGCGCGCCGAGGGTTTTCGATGGCCGGGCAGGGGCTGGCGGCGGGCTTCCTGCAGGTGCCCACGGTGACGCGAGCTTACACCGCGGCCTGCGTCCTTACCACCGCCGCAGTGGTGAGCAGGCCGGCGGGCGGGCGTGGCGGCGCCATGGTTACAGTCCCTGGGCCGCCAGAGGGGGTTAGGGAGATCGCCGGCTTCTGGCGTCTTACACGTTCCCCATCCTACAGCAGCTGGAACTCCTCAGCCCCTTCCAGCTCTACTTCAACCCGCACCTGGTGTTCCGGAAGTTCCAGGTGAGGTGGCCCCGACTCTGGCACCTGCCAGCCAGGCCTGGCCCTTCAGCCCCGCGCCTTACCACCATCCCCGCCTCTTTGCAGGTCTGGAGGCTCATCACTACCTTCCTCTTCTTTGGGCCCCTGGGATTCGGCTTCTTCTTCAACATGCTCTTCGTGTATCCTGGGCCACGGGGGTGGGGTGGGGCTGTGAGGTGGGATTGGGGGGATGTGTTGGGCTAGGAGTGGGGAAACTGAGGCCCAGTCGACGTGGCACTTCCTATACTAGTGTTGCAGGTTCCGCTACTGTCGCATGCTGGAGGAGGGTTCCTTCCGGGGTCGCAAGGCCGACTTCGTCTTCATGTTTATCTTCGGTGGTGTTCTTATGACTGTATCCTTCCTGTAGGCTCAGTATTACTGGACCAAGGGGCACCTCCATCTAGCCTGCCGTGCCCCTGGGGTCTGACATGAAGTGCCCAGGCCAGGACGAACAAACATTCAGGGCTTAGCTGCCCTGTAGCCTAGATGCCCTAGCTAGGTCTTCAGTGTCCCTGCAGAGCACAACAGGGAGATAATAGGATAGATTTGTAGAATACGTGACTGAAACGTGAATGCAAGAGGCAGAAGGAACCGGCAGGCATGGGGATTGATGGAGACTGGGTACCTGGAAGCCCCAGACAGGGGTTCTTGATATGGAATAGACCAGGCACAGGAGGGAATCCGATTAGAGTCAGGTACAGTGGGCAGCAGATGGCTCCAGGGTGCCTTGACTCTGGCCCAGCTGCTGGGATTCCTGGGCAGCCTCTTTTTCCTGGGACAGGCCCTCATGGCCATGCTGGTCTATGTATGGAGCCGGCGCAGCCCTCACGTGAGGGTCAACTTCTTTGGCTTACTCAACTTCCAGGCGCCATTCCTGCCCTGGGCCCTCATGGGCTTCTCGATGCTGCTGGGCAACTCGGTCCTTACAGACCTGATAGGTGAGCCTGCCCACCCTTCCCATTAACCTTCGGCCAGCTGGTCACATCGGGGCATGCAGTTGACACACACATCCCTTCCCCCATCTCTCATCAATGTCCCAAACTCCTCCTCCTGTCCCAACTCCTGTTCTGTCCTTAAAGCCCCTCAAGCAACCCAGCTGGCCACAGGATTTGCATCTGTGGCTGACCTGCAGACACTGGAGTTGATCCTGCTTGGCCGTGGTTAGTTTCTGCTTCCTGGCTGCTACTCCCATAGTGTTCTCAGGCCCCTAGTCCCTCCCGCTCCCCAGCAACTGTCCATTTTGGGAATTCGTAATGCCTTTCAAAGCCAGTTCTCATCTGACCCGGAAACTGGCAGGTAACGGGGTGCTTGTGCTCTGGGCTGCCCTGGGCTGTGAAAGATGGCTCTGCCCGCCTTTGCCTCTCTTGCAGGGATTGTTGTGGGTCACATCTACTACTTCCTAGAAGATGTCTTTCCCAACCAGCCTGGAGGCAAGAGACTGCTGCTGACCCCCAACTTTCTGTGAGTGTTGGACAACTGTTTTCCCTCCCTCAGTCTACCTACTCCAGGGGGAACTTGTGTTTACCGCAGCTCAGTATAACTGTCCCATCCCCACAGGAAGCTACTACTGGACGACCCTCAAGAAGACCCCAATTATCTGCCCCTTCCGGAAGAGCAACCAGAGCTGTAACTGCAGCCCATGGAGCAGTAAGCCCACCGGGTCAGCCTGAGGCAGGGCTCTACCTTCTCCTACAGCCAAGCAACCCATTCAGAAGGCTGGGCCCACCCACAACCTTGGTGCCTCAGCCAGTGACGCCCTCCGCTCCTCTGCACCATCTATCTGCTCAACTGTAGCTGGTAGGACATGGGGCCCAGAGTAGGGACTGCCTACGATGCCTAGCAGAGCTCTGAACTCACCAACTGCAGCCCACAGTTCTCATCTTCATGCTGCCAGTGCCTTGATGGCGCACTGGAACACGTCCTAAACACCCAGCATCATGCCCAGTCTACAGGTATCCTGCCTGCAGTGCCTGTGGGCTGACGCCCACCCTCCTACGCTCTGTTCTCCTCTAAAGCAAGCCCACACGTTCTTCTCTGGCTGGTGACCAAAAGTCCCCTGGGTCCTCTGCCATTCTAGGAGCCCAGGGCCTTGAGCTCTGTCTTAGCAGCACCCTGTGTATAGCAGAGGAAGTTCTGGGACGTTCCATTTGCTGAAGGCCCATGAGTCCCTCCTACCCACATCTCTGAACCGAGGATGTCTATGTGGCCAGTTTTCCTTGTTGCTTTACATGTGCCCCAATGGGACTTACTTCTGGATGCCCAAGAGCATGGGAATTCCCCAAACCACTGCCTATTGTTTCTATAGTGACAAAAATGTTTTCTACTGAGTCTGACTCAATTCTGTAGTGAAACCTGGTGGGGCCAAAGCTGTGTTGCTGTGTGGAGTGGGGGTGCTTACAGCAGGCAGGATCTAGGGGTGTGGGGGGGGAAGACCCGCTGAGAGAGGGCAGCAGACTGTAGCTGGGATGCTGGGATCCCTGTCTTCAATCATAACCTGTATGCCCAGTTTGCCAAGCAGAGCTTGGCTTAGTGCAGACCTAGAAGCCACCTTAATGGATCCTATGTGCATTCTATACTGTACCACAGACCAAGGACAAAGGGGCTAAGTAACGTGTAGAGGCACAGCTTGGGGGAGAGGGGGGAGGGCTCTACCTCTTCTCCACATACTGCCAGCTCACAAGGATGGCACACAGCTGGTGTCCTATTTCCCTATTCCTCACAATAGGCTGGGGATGGAGAAGCTGGTCCAGGCTACAGTGGAGATGAACTTAGATAACCTTTTTTTGGATTGTTAGAATTCTGATACAGAAGACTTCCTGTACTAGTGATGTCATGCCCAGGGGCTACCCACACGTGACCAAGTCATCTAGAAGGGACACTAGAGCCAGGACCCCCAGCTGGCAGCAGCCTGTCTGGATGCAGCAGGACCAAAGCCAGCAAAGGAGCCTCTGGCACACTGCTGTCAACCTCTAAAAAGACTTGCTGAGCACCAGAGCGTCACAGGGAAGCTGGAAGGCACAAGAAGGAACAATGGCTGGGCTCCGCTTTGGGGTTCTTGTGGCTGCTGTGGGGACCCAATGGTCTCATTTACTAGCCTGAGGATCTGAGGGTGAGAAGGGAGGGGCGGGCACATCGACCTTGGCCACGCCCCTCCCTCCACACAGGGTCCACTCTTAGTTCACATGTTTATGCTATCAATTCCAAAGAAACTGAACTTATTTTTTATTTAAAAAGTGTTACTAGCCCTGTCTGAGGCTCCTATACAAAAACAAAACAACCCAAATGAGGCTGCTTCCTGACTCTAGCTTTGGGGACAATGCTGGGGCTTAGCAAATGGGATGTGTGCAGAAGGAAGGCACCCAGGAGGCCCTACCCCGTTTCTCAGGATGGCACCAGCTGTCCCTTGGCCTCTCTTTACCACAGAGGAAGGAAAGGCAGGCTTTTGAGATGCTCCGTGGAAGTCAAGCATGGATGGCTTCATCACCAGGCTGGGGCAGTGTTGGCGAGACGCCTCATTCGCCTGGAGCAGGAGAACAGGTGGTCAGCTGGGGCTGGTCACAGCTCTGAGTTGCCACCCTCCTAGGTATGTTATTTTTCTAGAGTAACTAGGTGTGGGGCCCATCTAGCAGGAATGGTCTCTAGTCTTTTCTTGACCTTGGCCAGTCTGCTGCACAAACTGTTTATGGAAACCCTGAGACCTGCTAAGGATGTTGTTCCCTTCAAGGAAACGTACCCCGGGGCCCAATCCCCACAGAAACCTGTCTGCCAGGAAGACAGGTGCCTGTGGTGTACCTTGTGTTCCGGTCTTGGTCCCGGATCTTCTTCTCCATCTCAGCATCAGTCAAGGTCTCCAGCAGGGGGCACCACTGGTCAGCATCTCCAGTATTTCGGATGGCAATCTCGACTGTGGGAAGTGGGTTCTCACTGAGGGAAGGGAAACAAGGAAGAGGAGCAAGGGCCTGTTAACGGTGGCAGCTCAGAAGTCCCCCAGAGACCACTGCTTTCTACTCTGCATTGGCAGATGGCCAGGGCACAGCAGCAAGGCCCACTTCCTTGTCCCAGCTCCTCCCAGCAGCAATGCTGGGGCAGCTGGGGAATGACTTTTGTCACTGAACCTCAAGCATGAGGCCAGGACCTGTCCAGCAGAAACAGTACTACCTCCAGCCTGAACAGCCCCCCTTCAGAGTCGGTTCTCAGTAAGAACCGTGGGAGCCGCCAGCTATGGAGGTAGTTTCTTTGGAAAGAATAGTGTCTCAGGGCCAAGCCTCTTGCCAAATAGACACAGTGGTGGGAACAAAATGGGATGAAGGCTATGAGGGTACAGTTACTGGGGGGTGGGTATGGCTGCGCCACTCTGCACCTTGGTTTCCTAGTTGGTAAGAGGAAGCTAAGGATGTACCCACTGTGTCACAGCAAACCCTAGCCTGGCAGGAAGTCTCACATCAAGGCTCTAACCAGGTCCTCTCCTCACTCTGCCATCACTCTGGCCTTCCTGCGAGGTGGCCTCCCTGTCACCTGAGCGAGCCTCCCTACCCTACCTACATTCCTAATCAGGTGTGCCCACCTGCTGTCCTGCAGTACCTTGTCAGCTCTGGGAAAGGAGGGGGGCGAGCTCAGGTGCTACTTGGCAGATGAAAATGGGCTGTTTTGGTCTTTGTCTAGAATATAGGAACAGAATTTACTGTCTGGAGGCTTAGCATGAAGCAGCCAACATTCATTGCAGAGGCCTCTTTAGAGCCAGACAGGTCCTTACACAGCCTTTCAGGCTTCAGGAAGGGTGGACTTCACAAAAACAAATCCCTACACCAGATTTGACAGCAGAGTCACAATTCTTCATCGCTGCATCAAACCAGTACAGGCCAAACCCAGCAGGCTGACAGTTTACCCTGGCCCACCTCAGAAAGCCTGGGCTAGGGCCAATCCTTGGCATAAAGGTTTCAGGGACTTCAAGCCTGGATCAAGGCCAGAGTATAGGTGAAGCTGATTCCAAGGACCAGGGGAGCCCTGGCTCCTTGGCTGACACAAGTCTGACGTTCTACTGAATCTGAGCTGACAACGTCCATACCTACAGGCCTAGAAGCCCAAACTCCTGCTAGAAACTCAGAGGCCAGGGACTAGTCATGCCCCACCCTGTGGTCCCAGGGCCAGCCTCTTCTCAGCAGCTTCATTTGGAAATACAGGAACAGCCCAGGCAGACTCATCCATCATCTCCAGGTCATCTCCCTTGGGAGGGCAGACTTGAAAGGCGCCAAGCTCGGGCAGAAGGAATCAAACATGTTTTTCTCTGTATTTAAAGAAGAGCTGGCAAACCGGCTCCTTTGTTTACCTCCCCTTGACACTGGGAAGATTTCACACCATGGGTTTGATCAAAAATAGAACTACTAGAGCTGACCATGGAGGGATGGGCATAGAGCCAACACTAGCTGCATCAGCTTTGTGGGACCATGGACGCAGAGACGCTGCTCTGAGTCCCAAATCTATGAGCCAGCATCCATTATTCCAAAGGGTTTCCTACTCATGAACTCTGAGGTCGGGAAGGACCCTGGACACTCTCCTACCGCACAAATACCCATGTCAGGGCTGCCAGAGGCCAGCAATCACAGGAAAGACTGAGGCTGATGAAGTGTACTTGAGGTGATTTTTGATGTAAGGTTTTTGTTGTTTTTTAAGACAATGTTTTCTCTGTGTAGTCCTGGTTGTCCTAGAATTCAATATGTAGAGATCTACCTGCCTCTGCCTCTCAAAGCTGGGGTTAAAGGTGTGTGCCACCATGCCAGACCTGGATGTAGGACTTTGTTTTCTGTGTGTATAGGCAAGCTGAGAAGCAGTTATCATTCTCCCTCTACAAAGAAGAAAACGGAGACATAAGAAAGAAATGACCTGCCTAAGGCCATTTAACTGAGGAAAAGGAGACCAAATTCTACACTCACCCTAATGTTTGCAAGCCACAGTTGGCATGCCCCTTAAAGGCATGATGAGAGTTCCACAAACTCACTAGGAAAGGGCAATCTGTGGGCAAGCTGCTGACATAAAATGCCACTGCATTAGCCAATGCTTTCTTACATGTGACACACACACCAAAGTATATATTTGCATGTGTGTGTGTGTGTGTGTGTGTGTGTGTGTGTGTGTGTGTGTGAATTAACTAAAAAAAAACAGATGAACTGGACTGTTTATTATTCATCAAAATAACTTCAGTGCTGCAAAGGACACCATCAAAACAGTGAAAAGGCAACTCAGAAGAAAATATTCACAAATCCTACCTATTAAGGAATGTGAATCCAGATTATATGGAGACTTTCAAATCAACAAGAAATGAAAAGCCATCTAAAACTACAGGTTAGTGAGAAGGCTCGGTGTGAGGTCCTGGAAAGAAAGAACTGACTCCTAAACTGTCCTGACAGACACACGTGTGCACATGTGCTCCCCATAAGCTAAACACACGTGTGCACATGTGCTCCCCAAATAAGTGGAGTGGATGAATGACCTGAACAAGCCATTTTCAAAGACACACATGCGCACACACGGCTAATAATCACTGAAAAGATACTCACTAGAAAACCCAATTCTAGCCTACAATCACTGACACTCACAAGGGTAACTAGAGTCAGAACAGCAAGACAAGTCCTGGCTGGGGTGCTGAGCCCAGACCCGCAGCACTGGTGGGTTCTGAAGGATGCTGCAGCCACCGTAAAAAACAGCTTAGCAGTTCCTCAAATGCCAGGTGTGACAGCTCATCATTTATAATCCAGGCTCATAGGAGGCTGGGTCAGGAGGATTGACATGAACTACATATTCCAGGCTAGCCTGGGCTACAAAGTGAGATTCTGTCTCAATACAACAAAAGTTAACCAGTTACCATATAATCCAGAACTACAACTACTGGGTAGAGAGCCAAGAGAACTGACAAGAGTGTTTTAAACACAAGCATACAAATGTCCTTAGCATTATTTACTATAGCCAAAAAGTAGAAACAATCCACAACAGAATGGATAAGTCTGATGTATATAGTTAACCAATGGAATTGAGCTATAAGATTGGAGTTCTGATAATGTGTTAACATCAATGACCCCTGAATACATTATTCCAGGAAGCTAGTCATCACAAGGTACACAGTGCCACCCTGAGTTTTTTTTTTTTGTTTGTTTGTTTGTTTTTTTGTTGTTGTTTTTTTTTTTGGTTTTTTTCAAGCCAGGGTTTCTCTGTATTGTTTTGGAGGCTGTTCTGGAACTCGCTCGGTAGACCAGGCTGGCCTCGAACTCACAGAGATCCGCCTGCCTCTGCCTCCCGAGTGCTGGGATTAAAGGCGTGCACCACCAACGCCCGG